TGACAACCTCGCACCAATATTCTAGATTGCAGAGTTAAACCCTCGGACCTGACATGACCAAATCTAGACACACGCTAATAAAGGTAAACCCTTTACAACCTGGTATAATCGTATAGAATCTATCAGTAGATTATCTCAAAAGTGACATCGTCGACGCAGACGCACACCTCTTTGATATACCACTCCTAACGTATAGCTGATGTGGAGTTCATATTCTTAGCTCTTTCGGTAAAGTCACGTTGAAGGGAAACAATAAAATAATATATAAAACAATAAAAATTCTCACGACGTTTCGACCATAACACAAACGGTCGTCATCAGGTGTGAAAAAAACCAACGGCAAGAAACATTTGAAAGAAGTGGCGGTTCGCATTAATTAATTTATTTTTAAACGGTGTTTTCATTTATTTATTTTAAAAAACGTCAGCGCCGCGCGCAGCGATTTGGCAGTTTGTTTAGAAGGACGAGTCCATCTGTGTTCTGAAAATAGGAGAGGGGAGACGAAAAATTAATGTATGCTGTCTGAAAGCCACCGTAAGCATGAACAATCAATTAAGACCTGAATGGTTTATCAACTCCTTCCAATGATTGCTAAGCCAGAATCCATCTTCTCGGTTGAAATTGTCTCTGTGCTTGTATATGTGGATAGCCTCATGAACGAATCTCTCATGGTAGCCAGATGGCTTACAAAGAACCTCTGTCTTGGAAAAGTCAATGTCATGTGAGCCTACTGAATTATAACAATGATCTGCCACGGCCGAGGTGTTGGTCCTACCGTGTTTCAGGTCTGCTTTGTGTTCACGAATGCGGTCCGAGACATGGCCTTTGGTTTTTCCAATGTAACTACTACCACAGAGGCAACTTAGTTTGTAGACACCAGGGTACTGTATGTCCGGAATCACATCTTTTACAGACGGAACCAGATCACGGATTTTATGTAATGTGTTGAAACGGACCTGGATCTTGTGTTTATTCAAGATTTTTGAGATATTTTTTGTGATCCCCGCAATGTAGGGTAAAGTGATGGTTTTGAAAGGCTCCTCAAGAGGATCCTTCTTCATGGTTTGAGTGATAGCTTTGCGGATTGTATAGTCGGAGTAACCATTAGCCTTAAGAGCTTGGTGTACGTGCTTGATTTCACTGCCTATGTGTTCCTGGTCGGATATGCATTGGGCTCTATGGTACAGAGTCTTGATGAGAGAATTCTTCTGTGATGGGTGGTGGTGGGAATCCGGTTTCAGATAAGCATCCGTATGGGTAGCTTTCCTGTAGACAGAGTGGCTCATTGAACCATCAGGTCTCTTTTTCATTAGGACATCCAAAAAAAGGTAGCTTGCCATCTTTTTCGACTTCCATGGTAAATCTGATGGCTGGGTGTATGGAATTGATGTGGTCGAAGAATTGGTCTAGAGCAGGCCGGCCATGTGGCCAGATGACAAAAGTGTCATCCACGTACCTCTTCCATAAGGTTGGGCGCAGAGTGGCAGTCTGGATGGCGTCAGTCTCAAATTTCTCCATGAAAATGTTAGCTATAATCGGAGATAGGGGGGAGCCCATTGGGGTGCCCTCAGTTTGTTTGTAGAAAGTTCCATTCCAAGTGAAGTATGTATTGGATAAACAGTGTCTCACCAGGGGGGTACCTCAGTGTTTAGTCCTTGATGAACCAAGTCTTCAATGATTGCGATGGTGTCAGGTACAGGAACCTTGGTGAATAAGGAAATTACATCAAAACTGACAAGCAGGTCGTCTGGGGACAGGCAAATACCCTTGATTGTCGATACCAGGTGAGGACAATTTTGTACCGTAGAGGTGGGTTTTCCAGTGAAAGGACGCAGGATTTCAGACAAAAAAGTTTTTTTTTATAAATAAACCGTTTAAAAATAAATTAATGCAAACCGCCACTTCTTTCAAATGTTTCTTGCCGTTGGTTTTTTCACACCTGATGATGACCGTTTGTGTTATGGTCGAAACGTCGTGAGAATTTTTTATTGTTTTATATATATTTTATTATTTTATTGTTTCCCTTCAACGTGACTTTACCGAAAGAGCTAAGAATATGAATTACTGCAGTCACGAAAGCTTTAAATCAAAATTTGATGTGGAGTTCTTTAGAGGTAAAACCCTCTGACCTGACAGCACCAATTCAGATACCACCCCCTGTACATTGACCACACGTGCAGAGGTAAACCCTCTGATCTGACAGCACCAATTCAGACACCACCCCCTGTACATTCACCACGCGTGTAGAGGGAACCCCTCTGATCTGACAGCACCAATTCAGACACCAACCCCTGAACATTGACCACGCGTGTAGAGGGAAACCCTCTGATCTGACAGCACCAATTCAGACACCACCCCCTGTACATTCACCACGCGTGTAGAGGGAAACTCTCTGATCTGACAGCACCAATTCAGACACAACCCCCTGTACATTGACCACGCGTGTAGAGGTAAACCCTCTGATCTGACAGCACCAATTCAGACACCACCCCCTGTACATTCACCACGCGTGTAGAGGGAACCCCTCTGATCTGACAGCACCAATTCAGACACAACCCCTGTACATAGACCACGCGTGTAGAGGGAAACCCTCTGATCTGACAGCACCAATTCAGACACCACCCCCTGAACATTGACCACGCGTGTAGAGGGAAACCCTCTGATCTGACAGCACCAATTCAGACACAACTCCTGTACATTGACCACGCGTGTAGAGGTAAATCCTCTGACCTGACAGCACCAATTCAGACACCACCCCCTGTACATAGACCACGCGTGTAGAGGGAAACCCTCTGATCTGACAGCACCAATTCAGACACCACCCCCTGAACATTGACTACGCCTGCAGAGGGAAACCCTCTGATCTGACAGCATTAATTCAAACACCACCCCCTGTACATTCACCACGCGTGTAGAGGGAAATCCTCTGATCTGACAGCATTAATTCAAACACCACCCCCTGTACATTCACCACGCGTGTAGAGGGAAATCCTCTGATCTGACAGCATTAATCCAAACACCACCCCCTGTATTCGCCACGCGTGTAGAGGGAAACCCTCTGATTTGACAGCACCAATTCAGACACAAGCCCCTGTACAATGACCATGCGTGTGGAGGGAAACCCTCTGATCTGACAGCACCAATTCAGACAAGCGCCTGTACATTCACCACGCGTGTAGAGGGAAACCCTCTGGCCTGACACACACACACGCACACCCTTTGGGGCCGTCCATAAATGACGTCACGCACCTAGTACTGGGGGGGTCAGACATTTGTGACGATGTGTGACGAGGAGGGTGGGGGGGGGTAAAAAAAAATCGTCCAAAATCGCGTGACGTCATTTATGGACGGCCCCTTTAAGTTCAACCTCCCCACAATCCTAACAAAGTCTACCCGCAGTTCCTCCCAAAGGCGACCACCGCCGAGCCGCGAGTGAGTGAGACTAACAACGTGGAGTTCTTTTAGAAGGTTACAAAATAAAAATACAAAACACTCCGGGGCCTGACAACCACCCACCTCGAACCTCCCCCCACACACACACACACTCGTCTCCCCCCCAGCCCCCCACACACACACACACACTCGTCTCCCCCCCCAGCCCCCCACACAACACGTGACCACGCCGGTGACGCACGACGTCCGCATCCCCAGGAAGGGAAAAGGGAGGCACCACCACCACCACCCTCCTCCTCCATCATCATCATCAGCCAGCGTTGTTAGAGCATCAGCAGCAGCTGTGGCCAGCGAGACCCCCCCCCCACTAACCACCATCTAGCATCAGCAGCAGCTGTGGCCAGCGAGACCCCCCCACTAACCATCACCATCTAGCAGCAGCTGTGGCCAGCGAGACCCCCCCCACTAACCATCACCATCTAGCAGCAGCAGCTGTGGCCAGCGAGACCCCCCCCCCCCCACTAACCATCACCATCTAGCAGCAGCAGCTGTGGCCAGCGAGACCCCCCCCCCCCCACTAACCACCACCATCCTCTAGCAGCAGCCATCGAGCCCCCCCCCCCCACTAACCACCACCACTCTAGCAGCAGCAGCTGTGGCCAGCGAGACCCCCCCCCCCCCACTAACCATCACCATCTAGCAGCAGCAGCTGTGGCCAGCGAGACCCCCCCCCCCCCCCACTAACCACCACCATCCTCTAGCAGCAGCAGCCATCGAGGCCCCCCCCCCCCACTAACCACCACCACTCTAGCAGCAGCAGCAGCTGTGGCCAGCGAGACCCCCCCCCCCCCACTAACCACCACCATCCTCTAGCAGCAGCTGAGGCCAGCGAGACCCCCCCCCCCACTAACCACCACCACTCTAGCAGCAGCAGCCAGCGTTGTTAGAGCATCAGCAGCTGAGACCCCCCCCCCTCCTCCCCACTAACCAACCACCACCCTCCACCCACCCTCCACCCACCCACCTCTGTACCCGGGCCCCGCAGTAAACGCCGCCTTGTCACCCTCCAGCCGAGCTCAGCTCTCGTCAGTCGGGCGACTGCCGCCGTTGTTGTTGGGAGGGCACCACCACAACAACAACAGCCAACAACAACAACAGCCAACAGCAACAGCGGCGGTGGGAGTTATAGCTCACTGCCGCCTTACTGATCGCCGCCCATTCCCTCCCTCTCTCTCTCGCTTGTCCGCCCGTGTTGGCGCTACGGCGGCGGCTGCTGCTGCTGCTGTTTCTTCTTCTTCTTCCTCATCATCATCATCCTTGCCGCTGTTCGCACGCCGCCCTACTGACTGCCACCACCATCATCATCACCACCACCACCAACACCACCAACACTACTACTACCGACTGCCGCGGGCTGACCGAGGCGATCTGACAAAAGGCCGGCGGCCGACAGCGGCTGTAGGGGAGGTGGAGGGTGGTGGGTGGTGGTGGTCGTGGTCGCGGAGAGAACAAGTGGGTCGAAGTTGTGCGTCTCTCTGCTGAAGAAGGACGCAAGACTCGTGGGTCCCGGCAGCTTCCACACACGACCTCGCCCGTGCACGCAACAACAACAACCCAACAACAACAACAACCCCACAGCCACAGAGGGGGAGGAGGAGGCCGGGCTGAGTCGTAATGGCGGCGGCGGAGGCAGTGGAGCTCGCCCTGTGCGACGCCGCCCGGGCTGCTGCTGCTGCTGGCGGTGAGGATGGTGAGGATGGTGAGGCTTGTGGGTGTTGGAAATTGTCGGTGGTTGGTCGGTCGGTGGTGGTTATTGTTGTTGTTGTGAGGGTGGTGGTTAATTGTCGGGGTGGTTAGCGGTGGTACAGTAGTAATTGTTGTTGGTAGTTGTGGTGTTAGGGTGACGGTGACGGTGAGAAGGGGTGGTTGTTTGGTGGTGAGGATGGTGGTGGGTAGAGATGGGGGGGGGTGGTGAGGATTGTGGTGGTGATGGTGGTGAGGATAGTGGTGAGGATGGTGGGGGTGGTGAGGGTGATGGTGGTGAGGATAGTGGTGAGGATAGTGGGGGTGGTGATGGTGGTGAGGATAGTGGGGGTGGTGAGGATGGTGGGGGTGGTGATGGTGGTGAGGATAGTGGGGGTGGTGAGGGTGGTGAGGGTGGTGAGGGTGGTGGTGAGGATAGTGGGGGTGGTGAGGATAGTGGGGGTGGTGATGGTGGTGAGGATAGTGGGAGTGGTGATGGTGGTGAGGATAGTGGGGGTGGTGATGGTGGTGAGGGTGGTGGGGGTGGTGAGGGTGGTGAGGGTGGTGATGGTGGTGAGGGTGGTGAGGGTGGTGGGGGTGGTGGGGGTGGTGAGGGTGGTGAGGATAGTGGGGGTGGTGAGGATAATGGGGGTGGTGATGGTGGTGAGGATAGTGGGGGTGGTGATGGTGGTGAGGATAGTGGGGGTGGTGATGGTGGTGGGGGGTGGTGAGGGTGGTGGGGGTGGTGAGGGTGGTGATGGTGGTGGTGAGGATAGTGGGGGTGGTGAGGGTGGTGGGGGTAGTGAGGGTGGTGGGGGTGGTGATGGTGGTGAGGATAGTGGGGGTGGTGATGGTGGTGAGGATAGTGGGGCTGGTGAGGGTGGTGGGGGTGGTGAGGGTGGTGAGGGTGGTGGGGGTGGTGAGGATGATGAGGGTAGTGACGATAGTGGGGGTGGTGATGGTGGTGAGGATAGTGGAGGTGGTGAGGGTGGTGAGAATAATGAGGGTGGTGGTGAGGGTGGTGATGGTGGAGGTCGTGGGGGTGGTGGGGGTGGTGAGGGTGGTGGTGAGGATGCTGGGGGTGGTGAGACTGGTGACGATTATCTGAGCCGGTCCTGGGCCTCCTACAGGCCGACTCGGCCTCAAATGAGTACCTGGTGCGGTAAAAAAAAAAAATCACCACTGGGGAGACAAAGGCGGCCGGGCGTGGTGTTGGCCACCCCTACCCATTGGATGTGCCGTGCCGGCCTTACTCTCTAACATCACTACAGTCTTGTTGTTAAAGGCTACGGGGGGCATCTTCGTCTTGTCTTGAACATGGTTGTCGTGCTTTGTGTGATGGTGCGGTGGTGAGGTGTGGTTGGTAAATAGTGATATAGTGTAGTAGTCGTGGTGGATGAGAGACACCCCTGGGTGGTTTTAAGAGATTTACAACATCTTGAGTAATGTCACATGTGATTTCTTAGGGCCTCCGGGGAGAATGGGAGACTTTGGAGATAGAGACTGAGTGGATTAATCATCACCACCACCACCACCACGTGGATATGTCGATGGAAAGTGAGAGCCCAGTAGGCTATGGGTAGCACCCATCCCGTAATCGTTATTAACTTAATGAAATTGACCCCAACACCTTTTAGCATTGAAACTAGCAAACACGCACGACATTTGGTGGTGACCGGTCGTCCCTATGGATGTGGAAGCCAGCCAGTAAAAACTTGCTTTTATAATATATGGTAATGATGATTAATGATCATCACACGGACACGTGGAAACTTAGGGAAACAGCGGGGAGATCCCCAAACATCGTCATAATCTATAACATCATCATCTATGTCATTGCCACCGCCGCCAAGCGTCACCATCTGTCATTTCCAACATCACCACTTGAAATTATTCGTCATCACCATAATAATTGGCATCACCACCATTAATATCAACATAACCGCCATCTCCAATTGACATGGCTACAGCCCACCTTCATCAACACCATCATCTTCCAACATGATGATGCTATACGGGTACTGTAATGACAATCGCCGTCACCACCACCAACCAACCACCATCTCTCATTCCTCACCGCTTCATCCCCCGAAGGTCAGTGAACCTCGCAGACCAACCCGTAAACATTTAAAATATTCTTTGTTTCATTTGACATGTGGACGTGTGAGCCCTACCAAACCTATCTACGTTTTGTTGACCTTATTATCCATCACCAAAGCCACAATAACTAACCACCCCTCACCATCGTCATCATCACGATCATCATCACCACCATTATCAACCAACATTACCATCGTCACCATCATCACCACAACCATCATAATTGAACATCTGTGAAAAAAGAGCTTCATAGCTCATCGGATTTCTCCAGTAATTAACAACATCACAGTTTAACATCACTACTACCGTCATGAACATCGACAACATTAACACCCTCGTCAACAGCTTCACCAACTACCGTCGTTAACGTCGTTGTAGTTTTCATTCACCACCAATATCATTCAAACACGACCCAACAAAGCCATGTTTTCTCCACGTCACCTGTCAGTCAACATTTCTATGGCTAGAGAGGGGACTCAGAGGAAAATCTGGACCTCCCCTTCGTGGGTCCAGCATTATTAATTGTTGTTATTAACCACACGGCGGGGGGGGGGGTATGTTAGAGCGTTTACAACCACACAGAGCGTTTACAACCACACAGCAGGAGGGGATTGTTCATGGCCAGTGGCAACAAATGCGCGAGTTAAAAAGAGGAGGCGGTGGTGTTTTCTGGGGGGTATAACAACGCCGCCTGAACCAGCGTGGAAGAGTAGGCCAAATATTGCAGGGCTGCGCCTTTTTGTCTTCCGCAGGAAGAGAGAGAAAAAAAACACACTAGATTTGAAGCTTTCGTGACTGCAAGGATTCATGCTCTTTGGGGGTTTTATTCGGTAAAGTCACGTGACTATTCCACCTGAAGACGGAGGCTTGTGTTGCCTCCGGAACGTCGTGATTTAATTGTTTTATTTAATTTTTCCTACGTGACTTTACCGAATAAAACCAAAGAGTGTAAAAAAAAACGTTTTGCGACGAATGGATTTACAGGGTGTTGTGCAAAGATAGCAGAACGTTTGCTTCTTACAAGCCTGTGCACTTTCATTTGTTCCAGTAATACGTCTCATCAGCAGTGACTTGGTTAAATCATCAGCTATGATCAATCCACTGCTGGATGTCGTCATTTTCCAGTCATGATATATCCGCTGCTGGGTGTCGCCATCGTCGTCCTCACCAGCGACGATTAATCCACTGCTGGATGAAGGTTGCGTGACTGACCACTCGAACCCACAACCCAACATATTCGTCTGGTTCAGGTGTAGCAGACACGTGCATGCTTGATCAAGTACTGGACTGGGTTCTCTCAGACGAGTCCCTTGACTGGGTTGAGAGACGATTGAGAATGAGTGTCGAGAGAGGAGATGGAACCGTGAAATCTTCTCGTGTACGGCTGCAATGCCAGGGCTGATCCATTACTTCAGAATGAGAAATATTGAAATTGGAGGAATCCGATGAGCTATAAAGCTCTTTTCCACAGATTGCCAGTAGGGGCATGGGGTCAGAACGGAACAACAACAAAAAAATACGAAAACACGAATGGAGTGCAAAGGATAGGATAGTTAAAGCAATACAAATACACATTTTTTTTTGTATTTGACCAGGTAAGAGCTTTTTAGCTTCTTTTTCAGATTCGACCTGGCCGCAAATGATAGCTCAACGAAAGTGGCTTATCATCGTGTGGGAATTTACAGCAGCAGCCAAATTACTCTAAAACATATCAGAGATGATCAGGATCCCGAAAGATGGCCAGCGCCTTGGGGGGTGGAGGGCAGGTCTTCATCATGCGTGTAAGATGTTGAAGCTGTTTGTATGCGTAGCGTAGTTAAAGAGTGTAGCAATTTCCTTGACAATATTTCACCGTTTAGCAAGGGGTTGGTATGCAACAGCAATGATTTAAACATCGCATACAGTGTGGCAAAGTGCACAAACAGCGGCCTGTAAAGTGTCCTTTATTTAACCATTTAGCAAGAGAATACGCAACTATTGGATTGCACATAGCCATAGTGTAGTAGTGTATTACGATGATTTCACCATTTAGTAATGGAGTATATGTAACATAATTTATTTATGGGCGCCACAATGCAGTCGATCATTGTACTTTATTTAACCACTTAGCAATGGAAGTTTGTAACGTTACTGCTTTACAGTGCGTCAGTGTCCTTTATTGAACCTTTGGCAATGGGGGGGGGGGGGGGGTTGTGACGATTGGATTGTACATAATCGCAGAGAACAGTACATTAGCGTCCTTTATGTAGCCAAATACTGTAACGAGAGAAGAAATAAAGGATGTGTTAAACGTGACATTGCTAAGTGAAATTTCCTTCTTTATTTAACCAATTCAGTCTTGGTGCAGTTAACAGCCATGCATTTCTCAATGCGTCTTTGTGTGCTAATTCAGCTTTTTGTTCAATTTCCTTTGCGTCCACGGTTCCTGCTACGTACGGGCCACATAGATTGGAGAACATACGAGAGACATCATGTTGACTTGGATGAAAGGTAAATTGGGCTTTGGACAGGACGCGTCTCTGGACGGGATTTAGACGGGTGGTCGAGACTGACGATGGGATTACAGCCGGAGGCGGGAAACAGCGCTGAAAAGATGTTCTCGCCGCGGTGGCGAGATGTTAATTTCCTCGCTAGGTATACAGGAGGTCATGGGTTCAATCCCAACCCTTTGACGCCTGCTGTATATTTGGAGTTTGCGTGTCTCTCCCCGTGGTGGCGTGGATTTTTCTTCGGGTCCTCTGACTTTTCCCTCCACATTTAGAATCCGCGTGCGTTTGAGACTATTTGGCTGCTATAAATTTCCACGAGATTAGCAGAGCTACATCTGAGATCTCGTCAAGGAATCTCTGACCCACACAGTCGACAGCAACACCTCTTTATCCACTCTGCCACAGAGTA